AAGAATGAGAAGTGGTGACAGTTCAGAATTGGGGACTGGCAGACTAGATGCATCAACAGGTCACTATGAAAAGGGAACTGAGTACCAAGGACAGAGTGATGGAAACGACTCAGGAAGGCCTCCACACAGGGAAGGGAAGAGCCCAAAGGATAGAGAAGACATCAAAACACTAGGGATTTTGATAAGAGTTCATAGTTTGTTCAGGGATAGAGGGAGAGAATGCTGTCAAAAAGTTGAATTGTCAAGTTCCAGCTTTCAGAAGTTACCTATGTCTGGATCAAAGTAAGGTTCACATTGTGTTTGCGGAAGTGAATTTTAAGATCACGAAGTAGAGAAAGGCAACAGATTCTGAAGCCAGGATGAAGCTTTCAAGGACAATGGCAGGGAACACTGTAGAGGAGTAGGTGAGCCACTGGTCTGGGAAGAAGGTGGGATAGTGACCTAGAAAAGAAGCCAACAAAAGTAGGCCACCAGTGGCACAAGTGAGTTGTTCAGGTCTCAAAGAGGCACTATCAAATAGAGAAAAAGGAGAGCTATTTTGTCATCGGCTTACTTATGCTTCATTTCTCACGTCTATTACCCAACTGTCTACTGATAGTCTCCTCTTGTGTCTATTTCTGAGGGTCTGTTTGCTTTTGTTGTTGCTTTTGTTATGTGGTACTGGGGACTGAACCAAGGGCCTTACACATGTTGGCAAGTAGCATCGTTCTAGCTCTGGGATATATTTCAGGATCATCGTCTTCTAATGGACTATATATTCCCCAACTCTGCAATTTACTCTTTTTCCCCTCATTTTGTTTTTAAATTGCAGATAATAGCATTACTATTCACCTGGGAGGGCAGGGGATCAAACTCATGACCTCACGCTTGCCAGGCAAGCACTGTAGCTATTGTAAAATCATAGGAAACAAAATTTCTTTATCATCTCTTTTTGTCAACTCCCTTCTTATTCCCCTTTGCAAGTGCTCAAAGTGCTCTCACCCTCAATCAAAAAAAAAAAAAAAAAACAGTAATAAAAACTTCTCTGCTGACATGTTGGCTCATGCTTATAATCCCAGCATTTAGGTGGCTGAGGCAGGAGGATTACTGAGTTCAAGGCCAACCTGAACTACATAGATCCTGTCTTTAAAAAAACAACAAAAAAACTTCCTTTAGGGTCACACAGACCTGAGTTTGAATCCCAGTTCAACAATTTCTACTTTGAATAATTGTGGGCATGTCTTAATGACTCTTTACTGAGACCAAATACCTGATACCCAAAATGAAGGAAGGAAGGGTTTATTTCTTACAGCTCTTGGAGGTTTCAGCCCATACTCAGTTGGCTCAATGGCAGGGTGGCATGGTGGGGCTGTAGTTCATGGCAGCCACAAACTGCAAAGCATGAACTGGCAAAAGAGAGCGAGACACACCTTCTTCCTGCCATTACATCATATCCTGGCTCCACCCCTGGGTGGGTGAAACATTCACACCACCAATCCTAGACAACGCTAGACAACGAACCAATCACAAATGCTATGAAGCTTTGCACCTCCATGCGCCTGAATGAGGGTTTGGGGGGACGTTTAAATATACCACAACAGGGCACAAACACATCCTAATCATTAATTTTTTCTTCTTTAAAATGGTTATAATACTACTACTGATCACACATAGTTATGATGAAACTTATATGAATACATACCAAGAATTTAGCACCTTGTAGTTACTTTAAAAATATGAATAACATTAAATCTAGAACTTCCCCCCTAGATTCCTGATTTCATGCAGTGAAGCTTACAATCATATTTCTTTTTTTTTTTTTTTTTTTGTCTTTTTCCTTTTTATCAGTACCAGGGATCGAACTCACGACTGCCTGCTTGCAAGGCAGGCGCTTATGCCGCTGAGCTAAATCCCCAGCCCCTACAATCATATTTCTTAATTTCTGTATTTTTATGGGCATATTTCTTAAATTTTTATGAATGCTTGGATTATTGCAAATACTCAAATTATGTTGATCATTTGATTTTAAAAGTTCAGTAGTAATCATTTAGAATCATAAACAAAATAGTTTTAATTGTATGTGTCTTTAAATTCATGTCCTTTGAATAATAAATACATGATTAACATTTTGGTCATTTATAAATTCAGTATGCATTCTCAACAATTAAATCTAATACATAAATAAAATGAAGTCATCAATAAGTTTTTAAATGCATCTTATTTTAGAAAATATAGGGCTGGGAATTCAGCTCAGCAGCACAAGTGCCTGCCTGACACGCACGAGGTCTGGAGTTCGATCTCCGGTACCAAAAAACAAACAAACAAAAAATATAATACCATTGAATTGTAAGTAAAATATTCTTTCAAACACCCCGTTAATGACTTTACACCTGAAGTAGCTGTTTGTTTCAGAACGGAAACATAGAATAGTTAGATTTTGAGCATGGAAGAAAACCAACTGCTAGAGTGGTGCTGGCCCCTGGGCTCCTCTGACCTCCCCCATCCCACCTGTCAAACCAACATTCACATTCTCTTCTTACTAATCCCTTCTTAAAGCTAAATTCAACTCCCCCTTATCCAGGGCAAAGGTTCAGAGTAAGAGGGAAAATAAGGACATTACTAACCCTGCCTATTGAAGCACAACATGATTCCACAGCCTGCTATCTGCCATGCCATCACTGGCTACACCTCTGCTCCTCCGACTTCTCTTCCCTGGTCTTCTCTGGCCATGGCCATTGAAACTGAACACATACATTAAGTGATACACCAGTGTGATGGGAAACACTCCACCCAAATGGCAGCTGGTTAAAGGAAGCATGACTTGTATGGTTACTTTGGCAAAAATTACTCAGTAAGACACCAAAATTTCAGTGCTTTTTCCCATAAAGAATCAATGGCTGAGTCAGGTTAGGAGTAAATTTTGTTAAAATTGACAGAACATATCTACCTGATCAAAGGTTCTCCCTGTTAATTGTTTCTTTTTAAGGAAGAAATGTAGTAGGGCTAGCTAGAGGATAAAGATTAGGAAACAAATGACCATGTCTGTTATCTTACCCAACATGCCACACTCTATACAACGTGTTACTCTTTGCCCTTCCCTACAAATGGACAAAACACCCCCACCAAAGCTAGAACCATGCTCAGTGCTATATATCGCAGGAAACTCATGTGCATGAGAATTAATTAGGAAAGTAAATAAATAAATGCTTCAAGACCTTAGTCTTTTCTTTTTTTTTTTTTTTTTTTTTTTTTTTTTTTTTTTTTTTGCTACTGGGGATCAAATTCATTACTTTGCTCTTGCCTGGCAGGCATTTATGCCACTGAGTTAATTCCCTGGCACTAAGACCTTAGTCTTTTTTTTGTCTTTTTCCTTTTTATTGGTACCGGGGATCGAACTCACAACTGCCTGCTTGCAAGGTAGGCGCTTATGCCGCTGAGCTAAATCCCCAGCCCCCAAGACCTTAGTCTTTACAGAAACTTAGTCCTATATGAGTCTTAACAAACATAGATGGATCCAAAAGGGGGTGGGGGGAAACGGCAAAAACTCCTCTATGACAAAAACCAGTTTAAAAAGAGAGGAGAAAAAAAAAAAAAAAACCAGGTGTGGTGGCACATGCCCATAATCTCAGCACTCAGGAGGCTGAGGCAGGAGGATTGCTGTGAGTTTGAAGCCAGCCTGAGCTACATAGCAAGATTTTGTCTCAGAAAACAAAAAAAAAGGAAAAATAAATGTTAGCTTGAGCAACTACAGTTTCTTCTATTAAACAGAACCTCAGAAAAGATGGGACGGTACTACACAGTTTCTAATTCTGGTGTATCCCATAACAGAGAAAAGGTATTATGGCTCAGCTGCAAACCCTGGGCCCTCCTTTTCCCAGTGGCCTAAATCAATCCCCAGTCCAGGACAAGATGCTGAGTGAGACACCTAATTATTTCAGGCCACTAGGGTAAGCACTATTCCTGGCAACTCTGCAGGCAGCGCCATGGATGAGGGTTTCTAATTCTCTTTGGTGATTTGGCTCAGTGTAAACTGAAATTTTTCTTTCAGTCTTTCAGATAGATAAGTAGGAAAGACAAGCTCCAGTCCTGAGAGAGACACAATCAAGGTTAATTTCAGTTCCTTTTCTGTGCAGTAAAGTCCACTTTTCCTCTGCTGCCTTTCTGACACCTGTCCTTATATTTTTATCTACTTATTAAATACCTAGTGAGATATCTTTGGCAGTCTCTGATGTTCACCCAGTCATCCAAGGCTTCTCAGTCTAAAGAAATGAACAAGGTTGTACTGTGAGGCAGTTTCCTTCAGAGGCTGGGAAGCTGGGAGAAGGTCTCCCTACTATGGATGTTTTGAGGGTATGGCTGAGATCAATACCTCTTCTCAGGAGAGGCAATACTGAGTGATTCAACTTGTCTATTACTAAATCTCTCATTATTGGTTACCACTGCTCTCGCAATATCCCCACTTATTACCTAATGCACAAAGGGAAAGGCAAGGCAACGTATTTCCATTCAAAAAATTGTCAGTTCGAGGTTTAAAAGTTTAGAAGCTGGAGGGATCCCTCACTAGTAGAGTGGCAAGCATCTCACACATTATTAGGCTTGGGTTCAATTCCCAGCTCAGGGCTAAGAGGAAAAAAAGTTTAGGAGAGGTGTTTAAAGTGAATTCAACAAGACCATGTTTTCACTGGAAAGTGGATCAGCTGACACCTGTCCATCGTTTTATAGGTCACAACCTCTTTGTAAGTTTAGCAAGGTGTTTTATTTGCTATTTCCTCTTTGAAAATTTCTATTTCTTCTTTCTTATACCGTGGATACCAGTGAAGAAGCACCAGGTGGCCATTCCAGGCACTTCTACGATATACACAGGCTGTGCCTATTGAGTATACAACATCAGGCTGGAGAATTTCTGAGGTTGTAAAGACAACAAATAAAGCATTAGGGGGAGCAAGCTCTAATGAAATATTCGTGCTCCCCCAAAGACACACTTAACACCTCCCCTTCCTTATCACAAATAAAACACTAACCAATGTACTCTGCGCTTTTCCAAACTGCACCGCTCTTCTCAGTATCTTCAAAGAAACGCAAACACTGTGCTTTGAGATGGGTAGGTGTAAAGGAACATTCTGCACAATTATATCTAGGCTGCCGCAGATTTATATCACATGCATACATATATTTGGAGGCTATTAATTCATGGTGACAGCTGAGCATGACAAATGCAACAGTACACAAGTTGGAAACGCGGAGCGGGGAGGGGGGGATGCAACTACGAACCCCATGCAGACAAACACACACTGAGTTTTCCTCATCACACACGTGGCTGCACTTACAGGAGTTTAACCACAACCGAAAAACCCCAAACACAGGAGGCTCCGGCGCCCGCGAGCTGCCCACACACGCGGGGAGCCGCGCCCTCAGCGACGTGCGAGATGGTCGCGCGTCCCCGGGCACACTCGCGCTCCCACCCGCATCCCACTGCGCGAACACACGCGCGCCCTCCGGGGACGCGGCGGCGCCCGGGGCTGGGGGCAGGGCCGGCGGGGCGGGAGCGCCGCCCGGGGAGGGGACGAGGGGCCGAGGGGCGGGCGCGGGGCGGCGCCCGGCTCACGTGGGCGGGCGGGAGCAGCTGAAGGTCCGCTCGGGAGCCCGGGCTGTCCTCTCGCGCGCGGCGCTGGCCCGGGCGGCGGCGGCGGCGAAGGAGGAGGAGGAGAAAGGCGGCCGTGGCGGCGGCGAAAGAGGAGGGGAGGACGGGGGCGGCGTCGGACTGGAGCCGAGCGGCGGCGCGAGCTGCCCGGGACGCAGTCGTGAGCTCGCCCGCCGGGCCCCCACCCCCGAGCTACACCCTGCCGTGCCCAGCTCTGCCCGCGTCCGTGCCCCCGCGGGGAGCGCGCCGGGGCTGCCCCCCGAATGACGGGCGGAAGGTTCGACTTCGACGATGGCGGCACCTACTGCGGCGGCTGGGAGGAGGGCAAGGCGCACGGGCATGGCATCTGCACGGGGCCCAAGGGCCAGGGCGAGTACTCCGGCTCCTGGTCACACGGCTTCGAGGTGGTCGGAGGCTACACCTGGCCCAGCGGCAACACCTACCAGGGCTACTGGGCGCAGGGCAAGCGGCACGGGCTGGGGGTGGAGACGAAGGGCAAGTGGATGTACCGGGGGGAGTGGTCACATGGTTTTAAGGGGCGCTACGGGGTCCGGCAGAGCCTGTGCACCCCCGCCCGCTACGAGGGTACCTGGAGTAACGGGCTGCAGGACGGGTACGGCGTGGAGACCTACGGGGACGGAGGTGAGCGGCGTCGCAGGCGGCTCCGCGAGCCGGTGCCCTGGGCTCTGCCCGGGCTGCGGGGAAGCGGGGAGGACGCGAGGCGCACATGTCCGGAAACCCGCCAAAACACCTGGGGGCGCCTCCTGCCTACGGAGGGGCTTTGGGTCGCCTCTGGGGCGAGAGGGTTGGCCCTGACCCGGTTCTCGGAGCGGGCAGTGTCCACACCGGGGGGGGGGGGCGAGGCGTGACTACACCTGGCCAGCGCTGCGCTGCCACCGGGAGGGAGCACCGCCCGGGAGGGTTGGGTTGGAGAGAGGACGCTGTCACTTGAGCCCGTCACATTACGTTCCTGATCCCTCCCTCTCCCGGCCGCGTTTGAAATCGCCACTCCAGTGGAGTTAGAGCGAACGCTCTGGGCTTCTGAGGCTGCCGGTCTGTTGCCACCGTTCCCCGGGTTAGTTTCACGTGGAGTCTCGGATTTCGCTTCTGGTCCTCTAGTAGCCTAAAGATAGAAGCCAGAACCCCATAACTAGGATGTTGGGGAACTGAACCTTATTTAGTGTGCATTTGGAAATATCCTAGTTATGGGCATAGAGAGACCACCTGATGCAGGTGGGATTCAGAGAATCCGTTTTCTGTTTCCGATTTTCATTGGTTCCTTAAAGTACTGCTTTTCAATTAAAAGAATAGCAGCCGTAACTGCTATTGTTTGGACAGATAGGAAAGCATTTTAGAAATGGGCAACTGTATTTTTAAAAATACAATTGAAAAGTATGTTGTTCCTGTAGTTGCTAAGTTAGCAGCGATAGTACTTTGCTCCTGAAAATAGTACTGAATCATTGACTTCCATTAAGGTATATGACCCAAACGATAATCCTAGCTATGAACACAAATCACCTTATTTTCGTAGTTCACAAAATTTGTAAAATAATTTGTATGTATAATAGTTCCTTTTTTAATTAGAAAAATTACATGATTGAAACAGGTGTCAAAACTTGATGAATTTCTTTGCATACAAAGCTAAGAAAAATGAATGACTTATGCTTTGGCCAAGTACATTTTTCGATAATAAACATAATCATATTTAATTGAAAAGAATTGTAAGAGGCGATGTCACCTTTTAGAATTAAGCTGCTCAGAGATGGAGGATATTAAAGGGATCCAATTAAGAGTGTCTCCAGCCCACTGCAACTCCAGTTATTCCATTGCTTATATAAAAGCTTATACAATTTGTACACTTCACTTACTCAGAACACTTGGGCCGTGTTTCAAATGCAAAACAGCAGAAGGGTAGGATTTTCTAAAAAGGACATCTTTTCGTCCTACAGTATAAGTAAAGGATATGGTTGAGTTAAAAAAAAACAACTTAAATACTTTTTTGTAGGCTGTTTGGAATCTCAAATTTAGTATTAATCAGGGCCATTAAATGATCTCAATGGGCATAAAGTGCCTTCACTGACAGTTCTATTTTGTGATTTTTTCTTGGAAGCCCTAATGTCCAACAGAATTCCATGCTCAAGGAAGGAATGCAAAAATTTTTTTTTCATTTAAATGCAGGCATTTTATAATATTTTAAGATCATGGCTAGTTTGGAAGGTTAAAAATACTGTGTTAAAAGTAAAGAGTAACTTTCTGAAGTTCCTACTCATTAAATCTCTTGGTTCAGAGTATTCATTATACCCAGTGATCCAAATATATATAGCACAGTATAAGCCTCTATGTTCAAGCCCTCAAAATGTCTTTATGAATAATCTGTCTTCTGTTTTAGAATTCTTAAAAATTCTTAAAAGTCTTAAATTTGGCAATACCATAGTACTGTGGTTTTCTTTTTCTACTCCCCCCTCAAAACCACTAATGTGCTACAATTAGGAAGGAAAATTTAAAATCACTTTTGAATGTCCACTTTCTGTTAGTCAATTTTGTTGTTTTTGTTTTTTCCTCGTGTCACTTCATTAGACTCTCCTTACTCATTAAATGGAAATACACTGCTATGACTTATTTCATAACAAAATTTTTGGCCAGAAAGGGATATTACTTTCCCTAGTCTTACTCAAGAGTGAGCTTGTTTTTGCTTGCATTCTGCATACCACCACGTCTGTCCATACAATCAGATTTAGGGACAATCTGATTCCATGTCTTTTGTGGTGACATTAGGCTAGAAGAGGAGAAAAGAAATGGTAATTCCATATGAGAAGTATCACTGTATCTTATTAGTGGTTTGTGTGTGAAGTATTGCTGAATAGAACCCCCCTGACTATTAAGAATAAATAAGTACTATGCTCATGCAAGATGAGGCTTGGTACCCAAAATTTTTGGTGCAAATTTTGATACGCTGCACTTTGGTTTTTTTTTTTTTTTTTTTTTTTTTTTTGCTTGTCATAAAATGATCAAAATAGACCCATTGTTTCATTAGCTACTTTGCACATAACAAGTTTATAGCATATAAAATATATAGCATATAAATTTGTAGCATATATTGGCATAGAGTAGTCCAAATCTGAAACTCCTTATGAATTGGATTCCTTCCATTACAAGAGTGTGCAATTAAGGGGACTAGATCTAAAAAGTCAGCTCCCAGATGAACAAAACTCAAAACAAAACCTGTAAAAAATAAGTTTTACACTTGTGAAATATGCATCTATATTTTAGGAATCAAGAGGAACTAATTACAACTTTATTTGAACAGCAAGAAGTTGGAACCCACCTGCTTCATAAATATACTTTTTTCCCCTATGTTCATTGACTGAATGAGACATTTTAAATTTCAGAAAAACTACTTATTGTTTGGCTATAAGTTAGTTTCTAGCAATGCCATAAAAGAATTCTTTTATCTACTGTAATTAAACACAATAGGAGAGGCATGTGGCTGGTGTTGCTGTTTTCCATCCCCCTGCCTGAAAGTTAAGCAGAGACTTAAACTTTCTGATTATTGCTGTTGCTTTTAACAGCCTAGATTTTCAAACAGTACTTTGGAAATGCTAAATACTGGTCTTACTTTGGAAATACCAGTTTAAGAAAACTAGCTATGTATTTCCCATCAATGTTAAACACTTAAGAAAGATGATACGGTCATGTTTTAAAAGCGTAAATACTTATATCTAGCAGCTTCTTTACAAATTGTTCTAGCAAAATTTGTCATTATGTTTGTAGAAGAGTTTGATTATGTCACTTTCAAACTGAGCAAAATATTAAAAATAAGGTAGTTTGTTTTAATATGTTTAATTCAGGCTGCATACCTTTTACCCTAGAGTTTAAATTTTATGTATAGACAAGGGAAATATCAAAGTTGAAATTTCCTAAAATTCAGTTCCTATTTCTGTTGAGGTGGCAGTGTTTGGTGATAGCTGACCTTCAGTAGGAAGCTTCTTACCCTGAAATGTTCGATATAACCTCTTTAGCCTTTTGGGTGTATCCTCTTGAGAAATAACCACCTAACCCACCTAACCCTTCAGAAGTACATAGACATCAGATTAAGACTTCATATCCACTCAGAATATGACATTCATAGTACTAGATCCAGATCCAGACTGTGACAGTTCCACTCACCGTCACTCTATTTTTCACTGTTTCTATGGTATACTCCCGAATGAAGAGAAAGAGAAAATTGATTTGGAATTTGTCACAATGCGATGCAAAAGCCATTAAATTTTAGTTTTTAAAGTGGAATGAAATAATTAGCTTTTGTTTATTACACAGTGATGTAAAATCATTAGCATTATTCAGAATATTTAAAATGATATGTCCTGTGCTTTGGAAATCTGTGCATGATTGCACAATATATTGAATATAATGCATCCCATGCATTGGCAATAAGCTTTTGCTCACATAATATGCAAAGTGCAGAGTAAACCTAAATAATCAGAAATGGAACAAGGTTAAGATAAAACCATATTCATGATTTACTTCCAATGACATGAGTTATAACACAGAAGTTACTACGTTTTAAAATTTCCAGGTAGCTACTTTGGGGGAATGCAACGACATAAAATTTCCATTTAGTTAAAGAAA